ACAATTATTTACATTACGTACTATGGCCATAGTAATAAGCTAACCTGTCGTAAGAGTTCGAAGACTCACGGATCCGAACCACGACGTCATTCGTGTTCAGCACTGTATATGGACCATCCGAAGGTGACTGTAATTTAGGACTCAGTCCTTTTCGTTGAATCGGGTTCCACAACCACACCTTGTCTCCTTTGTTGGATCTATGTCTAGTAGCTCTTGTGTCGCATCTGGTCTTCATTTTCTCCGTCGCCAAGTTGACTCGCTTTCGTGCAGAACGGTGCATCACCCTTCAAACCGGGCCTGGGCATCTTGGATGTGTTCCTCAGGCGATGAAGGCGCATCCGTAGGGCGACTAAACAGGCGGTCACAAGGCAGACGAAGGTCTCGACCGAAGAGCTTCTGGGATGGAGAATAGCTGGTAGTCTTGCGTTTCTTTTCGACCCTAGGTATGATTTCGGCAGCTTCCCGAGCTCGATCTTTCGGACAAGGCGTCGACATTTCCAGGCGAGGATCCCTTTTGAGGATGGATAGTCATGCCATCAGATGCTGAAAGCAGCTTATTGTTTTTGAAATCTAAGGAAAAATTGTATTTCCTTAAAAAGTCCAATCCGAGTATGCATGGATCTGTAATATCCGCCACATATGCCGTGTGATGGTAGGCGGCACTTCCAAACGTGATGTTTACGTTTAACTTCCCAGTTATGTCGATCTTGTCACCAGACGCAGTCTGAAGGGTAACACAGGATGGCGTCCAAATAAGTTTATCTTTAAACTGTTCAGCTAAATCTTTCCTAATGATGGTAACATTAGCTCCTGTGTCAATGATCATATTGCAAGGAACTCCATCGATATTCCCATTGATGGACAGTCCGTTATTGTTGCCACTCACTATAGAGATCTTAAGCGCTTTAAAACAGGGTTTTTCATTATCTGGCAACCTCCGTTCCTTGATATGGTCATTAATTTGTTTCCTGCGTCGTTGCTCAGAAATTGTCTCAATTTTCGTACCCTGGGGTGTTCTGCAATTCTTTCGTACGTGGCCTTCAGCTCCACAGTTCCAGCACTTTGGTTTCTTGTCAGTCCTTTTCCTTCCCGTGGCATTTAATTGTCTGTTTAAATCGTATGCCTTATTTTCCGTGCTCTGGGGAGTTCTGCAGTTCCTTCGTAGGTGGCCTTCAACACCGCAATTCCAGCACTTTAGGGTCGGTTTTGTTTCACCACTATTCCGTCTTAAAGCATTCACTGGTCTTGTCAACTCATCCGTTTTATTATCCGTGCCCTGGGGTGTTCTGCAATGCCGTCGTAGGTGACCTTCAGAACCACATCTCCAACATCTTACAGCCACTTTGTTCTCACTGCCTACTCCGTATCAAAGCATCGACTTGTCTGGATAAATCATCTAAACGAGCCATCAATTGATCCCCTGGCTCGTGGACTCGCACAGCTCTGACTGGGTAGCGATCTCTACGAGTTGCTTGCTGGGCTGCCTCGAATTTCATGGCGTACAACAGAGCACTTTTTATGTCTTTCATATCTGCCATTCGCAGAGCTTTCTGTATTTCAGAATCCCTGATGCCGTCGATGAAGTATTGCAGGGACAGGATTTCCCTTGTTTCTGTCGGGCACTCCGAAAAGGCGAGATGGGACAGCCTTTCAACATCCGTGGCGAGCTCCTGAAGTGTTTCGGTAGGCTTCTGTTGACGAGATTTTAATTGGAGCCTGCTGTAGTCTTTTAAACACTTTCTCCCCAAAGCGCAGCTCCAAGGCGCCGGACAGAGCTTCGAAATCTAACCTTTTGTTTTCGGGAAGAGTCTGAAGGATATCCGCTGCGTCGGCTCTTAGAGAAGCGGCGAGATGACAGGCCTTAGCTTGGGAATCCCATCCATTCGCATCCGCCAACGATAGAAAATTGTGTCTTATACACCTGCCAGGAGGTCTTCCCATCATATGTGGATAGCTTCAGAGGTGGACGAGCAGGCATCGGTAAGAATTTAAAATCATCACTCCTGCTCCCTGCCGACGCTACGAATTTCTTTAAAGTATCCATTTCTTTGGCAACTGCAGAAACTCTCTCATCAATTTGTTGTTCGATTTGGTGTTGGACGGCACAAACTCTTCCTTCAATTCGTTCCTCCACAGCAGAAACTCTCCCTTCTATATGTTCTTTTACAGAAGAAACTCTTTCTTCTATTTTTTCTTTCACCGAAGAAAACTCTTTCTTCAATTTGTCCAACTTTATTTTCAACTGCGTCAATTCTGCCTTCCATAGCTTCAAATTTATTTTCTATTATGCAGGTAATTTCTCTTTTCATTTCTTCTTGACCTGCTTCAATCTTTTCTTGACCAGCTTGAACGGCTTTCATTTCGTCCTTAACGGATTCCTGGCCCAATTTCATTTCTTTTTTAACGGACCTAATTTCTTCTTTAACAGAATCTTTCATTTCTTCTTTAAATGAGCAAAAGCATATCATGAATGTTTTAATGTTTCTTCCATCGCTCTTGTTATTGGCATTCAAATCCCCACTCCTGACACCAAAAATTGTTGCGTGCGTACGGGTTCGTTATGAAATGAATGCACAAGTCCGATGAAAAATGAACAAAAATTTATTATTATCACAACAAAAATGCTTAAATTTTCTCAAATTATCATGCAGTATTACAATATCTCACAGTAGTTATCTTTTAACTACTCAAATGTCCAATAGAACGTAATTCAAAACAGCTAAAGAACGCTAATCCGCGAATTCGCTACAATCAACAAGAGCAGTTTTCTAAACAACAACAAACTAAGCAACTACTACAAACTGAGATGTTTTCCTCCTTTTATAAGATTTTAAAATCACGCGCTAGAATTTTCCAGTACTTTCTCGAAATCAAAAAGAGATATTTATTTATTTAACGCACGCGCTCTTGTAATTTTAATTTTTCCGGCTTAGCTTTCTTTTAATATTCGTCACGCGCTGCACTGCGCGAGAAATAAAACCATTTAATTTATAATTGAACTAACATTAGCTTTTTAAATACCAAATTCTACATATTCTTTCACGTATAACTTCGAAGAACAAAATGTAAATGTTTAAATTTTATATTTTAAGGTAAAATTATTCTAAATCTAACTCATGTCGTTAGATTTATATATTTGACTTTATATTATTACCTTTCAGGTTGTTGATTTCTTTTTATCAATAAGGAAGAAGAGGAGAGAATGACAGTGCCGCTATTTTCCAATTAATTGATTATTTACTATGTGCTGCTAGTACAAGATCAAATTATTATACGTAGTTTATGCTTACCAAAAAGCTTTTTATTACATTTTTTTTAATTACTACTTCCATCCTTCTATACTAATACAGAACGCCATAAAAAAGAAAAAAGTTTTACATGAAAAAATTCTTAAAGAACTGACTTAAAAATACGTACTTCCATCCTGTGTGGTTGTTTGACGTATTTAAAATTTTGCAAATATGACAGCTTGTCAGAATACTGTTTTTACTTCTTTGTACTAAGTAAAGGAAGTGTTGTTATTGTGAAAAATTTCGGGAATAATGCTTCAACGAAAATATCCATTTTAACCCACTTTCGAATCCATTTTCACGATGTTTTTGCGTGACATCTGTACGTAGGGACAGAATAAAAGACTTTTTTTTTTTTTTTTTTTTCCCTAAACGGATTCTAAAATGTGTTCAAAATGGATTCTGAAGAGTTTTTTTTTTTTTTTTTTTTTTTTTTTTCGTAACGTCTGTACGTACGTAGGTATGCATCTCGTATAACTCAAAAACGAGTAGCCTCAGAACGTTATATTTTTGCCCTTTTGTATTTTTATTTTTCGAGTTTGTACTACTATGAATTTTTTAAAAAACTTTGATTTGCTTTGATATTGTGTTAAAACTGTTATACACGGTTGCAATTCTTAATATTGTTGAGGAATTGCCTTGCTTTGACTCCAATTTTCTTTTATCTTTAGATGCTTTATTTTACTTCAGTAATGCAGCTATGGCGCAGAAGGGGTATAAAAAATTTCTTTTGAATTTTTAGCCTCTTAGTATGTTTCTTTATGGATATATATAATATTTATATATACACCTACTCTGTTACACAGCTCGGTGGGCTCAGTTTTCTTATTCTTATATGTTGGTAAATTGTGCATTTTTTCTTTAAAAGTGATTGAATTATGTTGTTATGTTCCGGTTAAGGTTTTTATGCCTTTGGTTCACCTGCATGCAATACTTGTGGCATTGTGAACAATTTAAAAGTTGTTTAAGTGCCACTAAGCCTAACGTAGCCGCTATTTGATTACGTTTGATCCTTTAGTAGAATAGTGAATTCAGTTTCTGCATCTTCGGTGTCTTTCTGCCAAGTGGAACTAAAAGTAAATTTTCAGTTTTGTTCACCAAAAAATATCCCTTCTTGTCTGCCGAATTGCTTGTTTTTGCGTAGAAACTATTTTGGATTGTAAATTTTTTTAACTGTTTTTAAGTGTATTTGGTGTTTTATGTTTTTCTGTATTTTACGATTTTTAATAATGTTTTGAGCTTTTATTGCATGTTGCCATTTGTCGCGAAGTGAAGAACATGAATTAATTGAATGAGAAATATATCATTAATGCAAATTAGAGCAATTAAGTTGCTATATCATTATAAATTAAGATGCAGCAAAAAAGTAGTATAATTTAACAGGCCGTACAAGGAAGTCATTTTGTGTGTCCATATTAGATTTTTTTAAATCAGATTCATACTTATTCAAAAATAAATAAATATATATAATGTCAGATTATAATCATCAGTATCAAGTTAAATGTGAAATGTAAAACTTTTAATGAGAACAGTTAATGATATAATCTATGCTTTAATTTAGCGTGTCAAACTTTTCGCTTAAGTGAGGTGTACAACTGAAGTTTTAAATTCATTCATATATATAAAACCTAGTTAGTTTCAGTGAACATTTTTTAAGAATAAGCTAGATATATTAAAATAGTTTTTTAAATGAACTTATTATTTTCTTAGGTATTTGTGGCATCTTGAAAGGTATCATAAGTTTTGAAACTGGTTTGATTCCTCCAAATTATGAATATAATACTCCCAACCCGCACTGTCCAGCTTTAGTTGACGGTCGAATGGTAGTTGTGACTGAACCAGTTCCCCTTACGAAACCATATATTCCCGTCAACTGCTTTGGCTTCGGTGGATCTATAGTACAAACTATGCTGAAGCAAAACCCCATCGAATCCACTAGCAGACCAGAAAAGCGAGTTTTGCCCAGCCCAGCCTAGTGCTCTATATCCAGCAACCACAGAGGAAGGAGTGCTTTTCATGTTCAATTACATAAAAGAAAATCCAAATCTCAATGCTGAATTTTTTGCTTTACTGAATAAACTGTCTTTCACACCACCAACTTTAGTGTGAAACCTTTCCGTGGATATGCACTTTACGAAAATGAAAAGGAACCAATTATACAAGTAAAAGTAAGTTTTTTATTGCTAGTATTTATTAATTTTTTACTAGTAATGCAGAGTGTTTGTAAAATTTTAGAAATTATATATTAAAAGTTTTAAAATGCTTTTTTCAAACTGAAAGGGGATCTTAACTTGAGACGAAAAGAAGCAGATATCCAAAACTTGGAAAACAGAACTGCACGTCTTTACTTACACTGACATTCAAAATTAAAGGACAATAAAGAATAATTCTTAAAATTAAAGTAAATTATACAACAGGATACAAAAACGTATAGAACTGTAAACAATAAATTTCTTACTTCGTTATAAAAGCTCACTAGTTTGCTTACAAGTTGAGCAAAGCTAATATATTGGTTGCTAATTACATATAAAAATAAAAAAGAACGGGAAATTGCTTTTTTCCATTCTCGATGATATCATTATTTAACAGCTGCGCGAAATGAAACGCCTATTTTCCCAACTGTTTCATGTTACTAATTAAACCGCTGATGCGTTATATATTAAATCGCGTAAATTAAAATTTTATCTTTTAAGTGAGTGTTTCACTGAATAAAATTTTTGCCCTTTAGGGACCTTAAAAATTGTCAATTTCACTTATATTTTTACAGTGAATTGAAACTTACAATGTTGAAATTGTTTTTATAAAATTCCCTACCTATTTTTAAGAGAATTTGTACAATTGGAAGCACCTGTGTAGTATCCGATATAACTCCAATTATCCGAATTCCGACTATCCTAATTGCTGATTATCGAAATCGCTTTCAGAATTTAAGAAAAAAATTAAGACGGAAAGGTAGTGTTGGACAATCAACGATATCAGACATTGAAAGGAGCAAACTTACACTTTTAAACTTCGTGTCACTGTTTGAAAACGAAGATAGAAGTTCTTCAAGAAAATTAATGAAGGGAGAAACAAACAAAAATTCAGAAGATGTCATTTTCAAGCGGTTTTAACGTGCTATGGGAAAAACCCAATCTCGAGTTCGATTCTTTGTGAAAAAGTAAGATCTTAGCTCAGAAGCTTGGTTGTTCATACTTTTAAAGCAAATAACGGTTGGCTGAGAAATTTTAAGGACAGGCACGGTGTCCGTCAAACATCTTACTTTGACCGAGATGTTCAGCAAGCAATGACTTCCAGCACTTATAAGTACTGTACAGCACGTTATCTAACTATAATAATTATACTAAGTTGGCTAGTACCGCATAGCTTAACATAACGTAATACGCATGCGTGTAATCGATATAGCTTTGTTATATTATAAAGATGCAATATAAAGTTTTTCCTTTTATTTACAGAATGCATTGAGCGAAAAGAGACAAGTATGGTTTGTGTTGACTGGTATGGGATGCCAATGGCCAGGCATGGGTCTCCAGCTAATGGGAATCAGTGCCTTTGCTGAATCGATGAAGAAATCGGCTGCTGTACTGAAACCTTATGGTGTCGATCTTTTCGAATTCCTAAGGCCAGATAAAAATGATTTGCTAGTTGAAAGATCTATTACACCAGCTTTCGTTTCAATAGTTGCCATTCAGGTAAGCGCATCAACGAAGAATATCTATATAGATTCACCATATGATTTATCCATATAGTTTTAGGATAATGATTAATATGAGAGTTGCTATTTATGTTCCTGGTCCAATTATGAAAAAAAAAAAAAAAAAAAAGGTTTATGATCGAAACTGGTTTTATTTATTTTTTTTTTTTTCAAATATTCTCCATGAAGATCAATACACTTTTTCATGCGTTTGAACCAATTTTCGAAGCACATTTTCCACGCCGATTGAGGTAACTCCAAAACATGCGTTTTGAATGCATCAGCCGCTTTTAAGGGTGTTTATTTTTGATGTGCGGTAATAAAAAAAGTCATTGGGTACCAAATTAGGGCTCTACAGCGGATGAACCATCAATTCGATTCAAAAATTCCTTCGTCTGGTCGATGTGTGAGAGCTCGCATTGTCATGATGAAGAATGATTCGCCTCTGCTTCTGCTTTTTTCGAATTTTCCCGATGAATTCTGGCAAACAAATGGTCATCTACCATTCGGAATTGACCGTCGAGCGTTGCTCTAACGCCACTGTCGCCTCGTGACCGGTAATGCCCACAAAACTGGCAACCATTTTCTTCTATGTGCTTCTTTCGCGAATAACTTTGTTGGATTTGGCTCGTCTTGGAAGACCCATGCAGTCCACTGCTGTTTTGTTTCGGGCTCACATGCGTACATCCATAATTCCTCACCCGTATAGATGTTATACAGAGCCCTTGATACAACTTGAAGGTATTTTTCCAACATGTTCTTGCACCAATCGACACGAGTCTTCTTTTGAGCGTTTGTCTGATTATGCGTGATCTAGAGTGAACAAATCTTTTTTTCGGCCAAATGCTCATGTAATATCTTATTCATGTTTGTCATACTAATGCGCAAAGATGCTTCAATCTCACGGCATGTCACATGATGATCTTGTTTAATCAGTTAACTCACAACATCAATATTTTCTGGCACAACAACCGATTTAGGACGACCTTCACGAAGTTCGTCCTGAAGCGAATGTCTTCCACGATTGAATTCATTATACCAGTTTTTTACAGTGCTGTAGGATGGTGCTTAATTTCTGTATAAAGTTCATCAAAGCACACTTGTCTTGATAATCCACATCGAAAGTTATGAAAAATAATCGAACGAAAATGTTCAAGAGTCAATTCCATTTTTTCCCCGAGATGAATTTTTCAGTTTACTGTAAACAACACAAATCACGCTAAAATGGCAAAAACATTCTGAAAACGTTATGGTTAAAAATATCAAACTTTCGATTGGAATCGTCTGGAGTCGCCTAGCAGTATTTACTGTTGCCAAGGCCAGAAATATAAATAGCAATCTTCGTAAGTAATGACTTTGATGATTTCACTGAATTTAGAAATTTAATATACTTTAGGCATTTTATATTTAATAGCCATAAAAATCTTACCATTCTGTCTTTACTTTCACTTCTGCTTTGATCAGCTCCTACCTGAAATTAATTAACGTATTTAAGCACAGAATCAGTCCGTAAGAGAGCTTGTGACAGCTATAATGGACATCTCCCTACTATTTCTCCCAACACGTGAATTATTTGAAGCAACTTTAACCTTGCTAACCGTAATTGCTCGCAAGAGTTTGAAGACTGAGTCAAACCTTTTATAGAAATTTAATATTTGAGCTTTGTATTGAAATATAATTTTTATTCATGTTTTGTTCTGTTATTTCCGCAATCTGCGAAATTTGATCTGTGTTATTACATAGGATGTGTAACTGTTATGCTAGCGAACTAGTAGAAACGTTTATTTTTAAACCTTCTTCTATGCTGCAGCTACTTTTCTGATAAAAATACGTATAATAAACCAACCTCTTTCTTGAAAGCGTTAAAATTTCACGAGAGAGTTAAAGCACCTCACATATCCGACGCTGTTTATATAACTGCTAGACCTTTTTAATTGAAACGGTTTTAAAATACCGCCTGCAGCTGTAATGTGATGTATTTGTTGTATTTAGTGAATTATCTAAGGATAAATTTGGAATTTCTTCTATTATCGATTTCATATTTTGTACAACTTTAACGGATTTTCGATTAACAAATTCAACGATTTCAAAGGGAGTGGGAAATTCTAAGGATATGCTCATTTTAAAATTATTTTGCGATATTGCTCCTGAACTCAATTTTACAGTTAAGTGTGAAGAATATATTTAATAAATAAAGGTAACACAAAACGTTAAAAACAAGCCCCTTTGGGGCGAAATGTAAAATCTGAAAGCTTTCAGCGATCATTTTGTTTTAAATTTTTTATTTATTAGTAAACATAGTGTGCTTTACAAATTTTTATAAAATTGGATCAACTGGAAAAAAACGTTTTAAAAGTAAACAAATACTGTGAAAGAAATCTATTAAAGGAGAAATGATTAACATTAAGATAATTCTAATGTGCAATTAGAACGATCAGAAAATGTACATAAAACTACTTACAAAAATGTTTATAAAAAAAACTCAAAAAATATTAAATAATTCCCATTTAAACCTCTTAAGCAATCTTTAGATGTAACATCTCTATTTCACTATGAATGAAATCTCATTGAAATTATAATAAATCAAAAATCACTGGAAAATTTTAAATATAGAACTAAACAGTAGGAAATGACAAAATTTTGTCTGTTGAAATTTTCTGAAGCATCAATAGTAATATTTAATAACAGTTAACTTATTTGACTGTATATTTAAAAAAAAACTCACAATTCTGTTCAAGTGACCTGTTAATTGTTGTTTTTGAATTTATAATCAATCATTCTTTAGCATTTTGTATTGAGACAATATCCGCTAATTCTTTTCTATAAAAAGATTGATTAAAGAGAAAATTAGATAAAACTGCATAAAGCATTTCTATATGTCTTAAAATAGGTGCTTCTTCAAATGTTTTTTGCTGTTTCATTATAATAGAATAATTTGAACCACTTTAAAATCATTATCAGTGATTAAGCATCCGTCTCGACAGAAGTATTGTGATTACACAAAATCTTTCGGAATGTTTTCATTTGAACATTTAAACATTTCGTTTCATGTTTCAGCTAATACTGTTTTTCTGTTTACCAAACTTAAGCTCAAAAATACTTCTTAAAATTTATTACAGTAGTCAGAGGCGTATAAATGGATTTATTTTGGTAATTTTACAGTTATTAAATCACTAAAGTATTCCTTTTATGATGTGTATTGAACGTATTATTAAGTACTTTAATCTCAAAATACGACATTATCTCAACATTCGCAGGATCTTTCTATTTTTTTTCAGTTGTACAGGGTTCTATTAAAGAATTTATTGGAAATGTTCTTTTTAATATACTATTATTTAGTTGGGAGTTATAATTTTAAATATTATGTTCTTAAAAATCATGGTAAAAACTTTATAGAATAAACCAGTGTCTACAGGGCATTCGTTAATTTGGAGGTATAATAATTTCGATTTTTATACAGGGCGATGTTATAAATCTCAGAAATTTTAAATTCGATTTTTTTGTGCTTGTTGTAATTTAATTTTACTATATGCTGTTCCGAAACTTGCAGGCATTATTGCAAGCATATTTTCTCAAACACCTAATGGCATTTTGGAGTGTAATGTGAGTTTTGGAATATTAGCAGTAAATGCAGTATTAAAAAAAATAATATTCTCTATCCCTAAACAAGGATTAGATGTTGGTTTTTATAGAAAACATTTATAGATGTGTTGAATTTCTTAAATATACTTCTTAAATACATTTTAAATTCCTAATCTTATTTCCTAAACATATGCTGTATGTTAAATTCTTTGGTATACTTTAGATGGAAAAAAATAACAGTGAATGCAATAGTGATAGTAAAACTTATTTTTTGCTTATAAATAACATATTGTGATATTTAAAGATCGCCCTTATCGATGTGCTCAAATCTCTTGATATCCACCCGGATGGAATTGTTGGACACAGTACAGGAGAGTTAGTATGTGCATATGCTGATGGCTGTTGCACAGCTAAACAGACAATTCTTTCTGCTTATTGGAGAGGCATCGCTGTCGAGAGATCAAGCCTTCCAACAGGTGCAATGGCTGCTGTTGGTACGTATATTTGTATCTCGTACAGAATTTGTATGTTTAGCTTCTTCGAGGAAGGCGTTGCATATTTTTCATCTTTCCTGCTTCTAAAAAAATCCTAATGTCTCTATAGCTTCACTGATATAAACACTTTTAACAGAAAATATTTCTATATATTTCTTTCATCATTTAAAGACATAAGCAATCTTTTATGTCATTTTGAGTAGTTGTATATCTTTTCTTTCAATCCTCCCCACTGTAGAGGTAAACACTTTAAAAACATATTATGAAAACGTCTTTTATGATTTTCCATCTATTCAGATATTAGTGTGCAAACTCCACAAAATTAACGTTTGATAACTCGTTTAGAAGTAATTAAAAATAACTTACAATTTGTGTAGCTAAAATATCACTAATAAAGATCACTAAGAATCACAACAAAAACTCATCGAGTTACTACGAAACTACGATTTATTTACATAAATTAAAATGAAAAAAAGAATAATCATCGTAACATTATCGTTAACGTCTCGTCTGCCTCAGTTATAGTCACAATTGCATGGTCGCGCAACATTATGATGCTTTAGCATTATCTAATTCAGTTACATTCAGGGCTGTGGAGTCGGAGTCGGGTAGATTTTTGGGTAAAAGGAGTCGGAGTTGGAGTCGCTAAAAAACTCGTCGACTCCGACTCCAGTTTTTGTTGAACAGTTTGAATTAATGACAAACTGAGTTAATATTTTTATTTATAGACTATATATATATATACATTAATAAATAGTTACTTTCTATTTTAATTACATATTAGTAAATAAATATAAGGGCGCAAGATGGACGTGATATTCGCCATTATTGATTAAACTGATTCATTTAGTCAAAGCAGCAGGAACTCCCAAAATGGATGCCATTCTTAGGAAACGAGCTGGAAAAGGAGGAACGCAATGGAGAAGTACATATTTGATGATATATGTTAACAATTAATTAGTTCCTTTATTAAAAACACATTCCGTCAAACATTAATTGTTAGTTACTTGCTTTGTTCAGAAACATTACCGTCAACATTACTGCTCAAAAACATTACAGTTCAAATTATTATCGTTCTGAAAAAATAAAAAATAAATAAATAAATAAATAAATAAAAACTGTTGTTGCCAATCGTGAAAATACATTTTAAAATAAAATTAATACGTTGCGTTTACATTCGGGCATCCTGACTTAGTTACGACCTCGGAACAATAAGAACTTATATTTAAAAAAATAAATCTGTAATATTAATGTTTATAGTTCGAAAGTCTTTAGCTGTCATATAGATTCAGCGTCGTTTTCTATTCTTTTTCCGTGTCCTAGTTTTAGTATTAATATGCGCGGCGTGTTGTTATCGTTATCCCCACAGTAACACTAATGTCATCACCATCATCATCGTCTTCTTCTGATTCAGCTTGACACTGCCATGACTTTAATTGGCTCACATGAGCTGTCGTACTAAAGAAATGTCCTTTCACCTTCTCTTCTAATTGAGTCACTCTATAGGTATCACTCGGTAAAACTTCTGTAACTACCAAAGGTCCTCGATACTTTTGTTGTGTTTTGGTTGATTCTCCAGTTGATTTAGGTACTCTTCTCATAACTACTATTTCTCCTCGTTCGAATGTTAAAGAATTGCTTTTCTTCTCTTGTCATAATTTGCTTTCATTTTCATCTGCATATCTTCAATTCTCTTTCTAGCTTCATTTTGTAGATTACTGGATTCTCCCATTCATTTGCGTCCTCATCTGTAATCATCCTCATCAATCCGTCGTTAAAGTTTGGTGAATAACCGTGAAGCATTTCGAAAGGAGTTTTATTTGTAGTCTTATTTATCATATTGTTTATATTTCTTTCGCATTCCTTAATCTTTTTGTCCCAGTCTCTCTCATTCGGATTTTCCATACTCGTTTTAATCGTAGCCAAAGTTGTTCGATCCGCTCTTTCCACCATTCCATTACCACTTGGATGTTGAGTTGAATTGAGTGTATGACTGATTCCATTATTTTGACAGTACTTTCGAAATTCCTTCGCTGTGAAACATGTTCCTCTATCACTGCTAATTTTTTCTGGTAACCCAAAATCATCTACAAAACTCTTCAATGCAACTAACATATACTTGGTTGCAGTACTTTTCATAGGATATAAGCGTGTAAATCTCGTAAAATTATCAATTATTACAAATAATTCTGTATTTCCTCCCTCTTGAACTTTTTACGAATGGTCCTAAATGATCAATATGTATAATTGCAAAAGGTCTTATACCAAGTCTAATTGGATGCAGTACTCCTTGTTTCTTACCACTAGGCAGTTTATTTACTAGGCATTCGAAACACATCGAAATGTGACGCATAACATATCGTTTCATTCCTTTAAACCAGTATGATTCCTTGATTTTGGCAACAGTTCTGTCTGCTGAAAAATGTCCCACAAGATCGTGAAATTTTACTACAATACCTTTTCTCATCCATTTAGGTATGACATATAACAATTTCTCCTTTTTTCCTGATCTTTCACTTTACGAAACAATCGATTATTCTTCAAGAGACGTAATTTTTCAGTTACATATTTCTCTGCATTCGTTCTATCATTTATCTTTTTCTTTAAAATGTCTATTAGTTTGCGTAATTCTGGATCTGAATGCGGAATCATAAGAATTTGTTCATCTATCGTTAGCGTTAAACAAACTTCCAAGTTGTTTCAATTATAGAGTCTAAAGTTTCTTCTGGCTGATCAACTGGCGATCGACTCAATGCATCTATGTGACTCATTCTTTTGCCTTGCCTGTGCTTTATTTCAAGATTGTATTCCTGGATCAGATTACTCCACCTTGCTATCTGAGGATTTGAAGTTTTCTTCGCGTTTAAATAAACTATAGCTTGGCAGTCTGTAATTACCGACCGTAAATCGGATTCCAATTAAAAATTGTCGAAGTCGTGTCAAAGTCCAAACTATAGCCATTAATTCTAATTTGCTTGAATGATAATTCTTTTTCTGTTTATGTTGTTTTCCTTTACTTACACAATAAACTAAATGCCACTTTCTATCTTCACCTTTTTTTTTGCAACAGCATTCCTGCCAGTTCTTTGTTGCTCGCGTCTGTGTGCACTTCAGTCTCTGCTTCCGGATTATATAATGCTAGTATTAGTTCATTAGTTAAATGATTCTTTAAAGTACTGAATGCTTCTTGCTGATCTTTGTTCCAACGAAATGTTCCATCCTTCCTCGTCAGTCTCGTTAGCGGCTCAGCTTTCTCTGCGTATTTCGGTACAAACCTTCTAAAGAAACTTGTAAGATCTAAAAATTGTTTAACTTCATGTTCATTGGTTGGTTTAGGAAAGTTTAATATGGCTCGTACTTTTCTTGGTCCATGTTGCATACCATTTGATTATTATTTACTCAACTTCATCTTTTCCAAATTCGCATTTTGTCAGTTTCAATGTCAGCATTGCTTCTCTCAATCTATCAAACACTTTCCTAAGTTTTTCCATCATTTCTTCCCAAGATTTAGCCGGAATTAATATGTCGTTCAAATAGCACAATACTTCTTTATTAAGCAATGGACCTAAAACTTGATTCATAAGTCTCTGAAATTCTACAGGTGCATTAGCTAACCCAAAGATCATACGTTCAAATTGACCAGCATCATCTGGAGTGATGAAAGCTGTTTTCAGTTTCGCTTCTTCAGTTAAAGGAATCTGCAAATATCCATGAGCTAAGTCCAATGTAGTGAAAACTTTACACTCACTAAGACATTCAAGAAGATCATCTATCCTCCTAGGGAGTGGAAATTTATCTTAAAACAGTTTGCGAATTCAACTTTCTATAATCTATCACTAATCGTAATTCACCTGTTTTTTTTTTCTTTACGAGTAAAACTGGACTAGCATACGGAGATCTTGTTTCAGTAACAATTCCATATTTCTTCCATTCATTTATTATCTTCTTTATAGAAGCACGCTCTTCGGCATTGGTTTTATACGACTTCATGCAAATAGGCTTACTCCCTTCAATTTCTTTAATATCCATTTTTGTTAGGTTTGTACACCCTAATTCCTCCATATTTAATGCAAAACAATCTCGATACTCATTTATCAAATGTAAAACTTCCTGTTTTCTCTCTGGCGTAATATTGTTATTAACTTTAATTTCTTCTAAAGTAATCGGTCTCCTAAACTTCTTAATTTCATTTATTATCAGTATTTCCTTTTGACTTGAATTTTCAGTTTTCTGATCTGAACTTGGTTCAACTAATTCTGCTACTTCCGCTCTACCGATACATTAATTCTCTTTCAAAATTAGTTTTCGATCGCTGTAGTTAATGACTGGTATCAATGTTTCTCCCTGTATTACTTCCAATAATGAGCCTAACTCAGCTTCCGATCCACTTATTAAAACATAACCGTTATTTATTTCATCAGTTTTAACTTTCCCGAAATTAACCGTATTACTTACTTTCGATTTGAGTTTCTTGGGAAGCCTTCAGTTTAATTCGCGGAGTGTTGCTATCATTTTGCAACTGTGAAAATGGGCAGTCATTAGCATAGCGTATGTGCAAGGTATTACCTATCTTGGCGTATGCAATATGTAGTAAATCAATCCATGTTCGACCAACTAATAAGTCGCATGGTTGCGTTTCATCTCCTACAATTAGAACTGTAATGTCCTTTCCTTCCACATTATCAATCTCTAAGTTAACAGTTACTTTTCCCAATGTTCTAACGGCTGGTTTATTCTGGTTCCCCAAAACCAAACAATTCCTCCACATCAGGTTTTATAATAAGATTCAGTCTCTTAGCCGCAGACTGTTACAATAAACATACGAACTAGAACCCGTATCTATGATTGCAGTAATTTCTTCTCCATTGTTGATGCGAGCATACTTTAAATATACAGCTGGTGAAACACCTGAATTCTGGTTCACGGATAAATTATTTTTAACATTTGTCAAGTCTGGATTCTTAGACGTACACTTTTTAAAAGTATGACCCTTTTCATTA